CCAGAAGTCATTCTAAGTCATTAATTTATATTTAACAGAAAAGTTGTATGTTTACACTCACTAACATTACCATGACACGAAAAAAGGTGAGAAAATTATGTCTCATTTTAATAATTTACACTTAGACCAAAATTAATAATAATAAAATTATTAATAAATAAAACAAACAAATGAATACAAATATGATCATCAGTAAATATATGAGATAGTAACTCATTATATTAAGTAACTATCTCATTATAATGGGATACTAACTCAATATAACAAGATGGTAACTCAATATAATGAGTTACTATCTCATATATTTACTAATGATCATATTTGTATTCATTTGTTTGTTTTATTTATTAATAATTTTATTATTATTAATTTTGGTCTTCAAGCTCCCTGTCACATTTTTTTCTTTTTTAATCATCTTATTTTTTATTTTATTTATTTTGATCATTTATTTTTTTTGTCTCTTTTACTGCTGAAACGAATTGCCCCTGGTGGGATTAATAAAGTGGTCTAAGTGTAAATTATTAAAATGAGACATAATTTTCTCACCTTTTTTCGTGTCATGGTAATGTTAGTGAGTGTAAACATACAACTTTTCTGTTAAATATAAATTAATGACTTAGAATGACTTCTGGTTTTCCTAACTGACTGAAAACGGAAACTTTATATTAACTTTTTTTGTCAGACTGTCAAAATTAAGTGGTTTTCTTAACCTATCAGTGAAAGCCTGCTTCTAACCTGGTGTGCAGCGACGCCCTCCGACCAACTGGTGGCGCTGTGGATTCTATGCTTTGCGTAACAGTGCAGCTACGTAACCACGTAACAACATGCGGGTCGTGTTTATTGGTTTCAGAGTTTTATACTAAGAGAAAACGTTTCTTTTAAAAACCTTATTTTATGGTTTTCCCTCATTTTTACATCCTCTGTTTACTCTTCGACGCACAGGAAACGGTAAGCTAACGCTAGCTGCTTTCCAGCCTGTTTCCGCTCAGCTAGCCGCTCTGGCTACCTGTCCTCCTCATGTTCATGTAGTTTTCTAACATTTTGAGGTGTCTTTTTTAACAAATCATTATCATTTGACGGGTTTTAACTCCGTAAACTGAAGCTAATGCTAATGTCATTCATTATCACCGGGAACTGCAGTTAGCCGCGTGAGTTTAGCTCCTTAACACTTTGAAGAAATCCGATTTTAAATCAACTTCACAAGTTTTAATTCGTTCTGTCAAATGTTTCTATAGTGGCTCAATATTAGCAGTTTTCTGCACATAAATAAATGCATATCAGTGAGATTTGAAGAACGTTAGCTTTAGAGTTCATGCTTTAGAAATAAAAATGGAACTTTATTGATTTCTCTTGGAGAAATTCACTCTGCATTTAACCCTTCTCCTCCGGGAGCAGCGGCTGCCTCTGTGCGGCGCCCAGGGAGCAGCATGGGTTTAACCCTTTATAGGGCTGCAGTGAAATCCATTGAAAATCCCAATTTCCAGCCAATAGTTTTATTGGACCAGCTCCACCAATCAGCAGCCAGAGTCCACTTTGACATCCTGCCCAGTTTGATGCTGCTGCTAAAAGATTTCCTGATTAGTCAAACCGATGCTAAAGTAGAACTTCACATGATGCTCCACATTCCTCACTTTAGGGAAAAAAGGGCTTCTTGGAAGAGTTGTTATAAAATAAATCTTGTTTATTCTTATTTGAGGCCTTTATTCTCTTAATATTACAACTTTATTCTCATAATTTGACTTTATTCTCGTTATATTACAACTTTATTCGTATAATTTGACTTTATTCTCGTAATGTTACGACTTTTTTCCCAAAATAGAAGAAAGAAAAAGTCTCTAGCCTGCCCTGAAACACACATTTTCTTTGGTAAAGCATTACCTTAGGGGTCTGCAACCTGCGGCTCCACATGTGGCTCTTTGGATCCTCTCCAGCAGCTCTTAAAATGTATATAAAGAGCTAAATAATGTACTATAATAAATACCAGTATTAAATGATTAAGTGTTTTTTATAAGACTGAAAAGAATATTAAACAAGAAATATGTTTTAAGAGCCATTTTCCTCTGAATTAGCTTGGAAATTATGTGTTTTAATATTATTTTAAAAGCTAAAAATACATAAATTCCTTTAGCGGCTAATAAAAAAATAATAAGAGGTGTTTTTTTTTTGTTTTTTTTAAAGTCCTGTTATATTTTGCAGCTCTAAACAACTTTAACTTGGTCATAGTCGAAGAAAAATGGCTCTTTGGATAGGACAGGTTGCAGAGCGCTGCTTTAGAGCAGGGGTGCTCAGTCCGGTCCTTAAGAGGTAACACGCTAACTCGCCCTATAAAGGGTTCAGGGTTTCGCTCAGAGACCCAGACTGTTGGCTTTGGGGATTGAACCAGGACTGCATTCATGACGAATCCAGAACTTCTGTCCAACGAAAACCTAACTTCTGCATAACGCACAGCAGCGTAATGCCCAGGAAATGATGCGCAGTGTCCTGATGGGGCAGCGATGCGTCCGGCCTGCATATAAATATGTCTTTGATCGTAGTATTAACCTAGCTGCTGTTTACCGTCCGCCCCCAAAAAAAAAGAATAAATAAAAACTGAAGGTTTCTGGTGGCAGCAGATTGAGCATCATGTCTGCTAGGAAGTGTGTTGGTGGTGGGCGTGAACGCAGGGAGGATCCATCACTCACCTTCTGGCTCACCCTATGATGGGGATGAAGTCTGGAGGAGAACTGACGGTTTCCTCCTGTGAACCCCCTTTATACCAAAACGCTGCCAATACGCCATTATACAGTAGCTGGAAGTTAGAAACACGTTCAGCGCTCGTCTGGAACACGTCAGATACGCTGATATGCTGGAGAGAAGTTCTGGATAAGTTACGCAGAAGTTACTCAGAGGTTTAGGATCAACTAGACGCCACGACTGATGAGGAACCGACACTGAACGGATGTCAGCCATCAGATAACTGACCTGGAACTGACTGACCACAGATGGCAGACGCTGGCATGTGTTGGGAAATTTTGGAACATGCTCAAAATTACTCGATGTACTCGCCGTACATCGATGTGTGCCAGCGTACTTCAGCAAGCTCAAATCTTAGACAAAACGTACCTTTAACTTATCCGTCGTAGGCCAGCGTTTTTGGCAGATTTGTCGTACGTCAGGCAAACGCTGGGCTAAATCATCCAGGTGTGACTGAAGCTTGAAGCAGTAAAGTTATAAAAAATCAAAGCAGTCCTCTCATTTCCATAACTTTTGATGTGAATCAAAGTTAAAAGTAGTGATGAAAGCTGGTATTGGTGCGGCGATGCCTCCAGGAAAACCCCCTGAACCGAACGTGTTCGTGTTCTTGTCTCCACAGTCAGGATGCCCGTTCTGTGCAGCAGCTGCTCTGAGAAGCGCGCCGTGCTGAAGCGTCCTAAAACCGGCCACTCGCTGTGCAAGGCCTGCTTCTTCTGGGCCTTCGAGGAGGAGGTTCACCACACCATCGTAACGGCGAAGCTCTTCAAACCCGGGGAGACCGTGGGGGTGGCTGCGTCGGGCGGGAAGGACTCCACGGTGCTCGCTCACGTCATGAAGCTCCTGAACCAGAGGCACGGCTACGGACTGGAACTCATGCTCATCTCCGTGGACGAGGGCATCACCGGTTACCGTGACGATTCGTTGGAGACGGTGAAGAGGAACCAGCAGCAGTACGACCTGCCGCTGAAGATCGTCTCGTACGAGGAGCTGTACGGCTGGACCATGGATGCTATAGTGAAGCAGGTGGGACTGAAGAACAACTGCACCTTCTGTGGCGTGTTCAGGAGGCAGGCGCTGGACAGAGGAGCCGTCATGCTGAAGGTGGACAAGATCTGTACAGGTAGGTGTCTGATGTTAGCAGGAACTCCTCATGGGGAAGAGTACGGGAGGGGGAGGGGAGTCATTAGAGACTTGATTTTTCTTCTCTTTCATCATTTTCTCCTCCTCCTCGTCCTCCTTCCCCACTGATCTCTATTCACTGGACTGCTGAGTGTCCATTGGTAGTACAGGGTTGAAGGGAAGCCACCGGCCGCAATATTGGTACTCCCTAATTAGACCGGTCGCATTGTAAACAACCCGTCCCTCCCTCTGATCTCCCAGTGAGCCTGTAGGACCCCTGATGGTCTCTAAGTAACCTCTGCACTTCCTGTTCCTCTTCTTCTCAGGTCACAATGCCGACGACGTGGCAGAAACAGTTTTAATGAACGTCTTGCGTGGGGACATCGCCCGCCTGCGTCGCTGCACAGCCATCTCCACAGCCAGCGAGGGCGACGGCGTCGTGCCTCGCTGCAAACCCCTCAAATACGCCTACGAGAAAGAGATCGTTCTCTACGCCTATTTTAAGAAACTGGACTATTTTTCTACAGAGTGCATCTACTCGCCCAACGCCTACCGAGGCTACGCCAGGACCTTCCTGAAGGACCTGGAGAGTATACGGCCCAGCTCCATCATGGACATCATCCACTCTGGGGAGAACCTGTCTGTGCGTGACGGCGTGAAGATGCCCGTCCAGGGAACCTGCAGCCGCTGTGGCTACATCTCCAGCCAGGCGCTCTGCAAGTCGTGTGTGCTGCTGGAGGGCCTGAACCGCGGCCTGCCGAAGCTGGGCATCGGGAAACACCACCGCCTGCATGAGAAGCTCCTCTCCCAGCAGCCTCTGACGGAGAGCGAGCAGAGGAAGCTGAAACCAGTGGACTTCTGATCATTCGCCATCACATTTAGGAGCCATTATTAGTCTGAACAGTGAAGAAGGTTTCCATAAACTGAAAAACTCCATTATTTAAAAAATGACTTTCCTCTGATGTCCAACAGACAAATGGGTTATTTAGGTGTTTTCTTATGCCGTCTGTTTCTTAACGAGACAGAAAATAAGGTTCCAGGTCTGTGGATTTGGATGTTTTTAGAACAATGCTTTGATCTGATTATTAAAACATCTTTTTTTTCTGAACAGGGTTAATCTGGTTGTTTGGTATCCAGCCCTTTCATCTGGTTCCAACCGGTTTATACTCGCTTTGACAGCGAATCCTTTATAAAGATGTCAATCGTTATGAAGAAGCAACCAGGCAAATAAAATTAAAACCATATGCATGAAAAACGGTTTAAACACGAGGCTTAAATGACAAAGATGTTTATGAAATACAATAAAAGTTTGTTTTACTCCACAGAATCTGAAATCAAAGCTGATATAATCTGAGCTTAAACAGCTAAAGCCACATGGTGTTATTATAGTTATAGAGTTGAAGTCATTTAGCTTCTTAACATCCACCTCATTTTGATTCTTGTTATAGCAGACAGAGGCAGAGTGTGTGTGTGAAATAGGTGGAGCATTTAAAAAAAACTGCATCACGTTATCTTCTTCATTCTCTCTTTTTAAACCAAAAACAGATCCTACTGAACTTCTCAGCTGCAGATACCTCCAAAAATCTCCTTTGTCAGTTAAATTAAATTATTTAAGTTCCTCAAAAGACATAAATATCTCTCTATATAGATCTCGGACAGTACGTATTCCCTTCTCCAACCAAGTTGGCCATAAAAACACCTTTTTACCCATGCAGATGGAAGGGTTGTTCCATATAGAAGAGTAGCTTTGTTTATATCGGGAAATACCCAACATTTGAAGCAGCCCTGCCGATGCCCATCGTGAATGATCCAAAATTAAATTAGCCTCCACTGCCTGAGTTTTCTGTCACATTTAAATCTGAAAAACTCACAAAGAGAAAAGACAATTAGGAGAAATTTATTTATACAATTACTTTGTCTTTGGCGCTCAGACCTCGGCAGGAAACATTAGGGCTGAATTTTGATAGATATGCATGAACAGGAGTAAAGAACAGGGCTGTTTCCCCCCCAGGCCTGAAACTGGTGATGAAGTGGAGATAGATGGAGTTGGTCAGTCTGTAGACTGCTGGTTAGAGAGACGGTCTGCTGAGCTTTATGGGGAGATCCAGAGGACTGGGCTGATACTAGAGCTTCACTCAGGGACCTGGAAGATGGAAGTCCAGCTGGATAACAAAGGTAGAGAGAACCTGTCCATGAAGAGCAAGCATGGAGCAACAGTGAAGAGGAAAACTCCCCGTTGGGAAGAAACCTCTGGCAGAACCAGGCTCAACATGGCGGTCTGCTGCCGGACCAGTTTAGATCAGACAGGGAACGCAGTAAGAGTCCTGGAGGAATGACGCTCTGCTGAAGCTTTAGCTACGATGGTGGAGGAGGGGTTGAAATAGAGTCATCTGAATGATGTCACAGCGTATCCACCGCCTGCGCACAGGAGCAGACAGCTGCGTAGCAGAGGCCTTTAATATGAGCTTTGGATGCCGATTGGCTTTGGTGGAGGTTTGGTGTTGCAGATTGAACTTCTGCCTAGGCTCCATTTATTCTACAACACCAGAGGGGAGCACAAGCCCTTCTTCTACTTTGACCCACCCAGGCCTGAAACCACCAGTACGCCAGTGCCTTGCCATCTTATTCATCTCAAATTCAATATTCTATAATTCCACGTTTGGTAGCGCCATTCCACCAATATACCGTCAGGCAAACAGTTTTTGAAGCTTAATTCTTGGCCTTTTCCCATTCCACGAAAACTCTGTGATTAGCTTGTTATATTGCTTGAAAATGGTTTTAGAAATCTCTACCTATCATCATAGAGATGTAATTAAATTGAGTCGAGACTATCATTTTAATTACATTAATTTTACCCCATAATGTTAGGTTAATCATCCTCCATTTTTCTAAGTTCAGCTCGATCATCTTACATAGACGGGATATGTTCATGTCAATTATATTTACCTAATCATTCCAGTTTGAACCCACTTAAACTGGAATGTTTTCATTACGGTTTGCCTTCATCCTTTAGTTATCGGCATACACTCTGACTTTTCACACTTTATTTTATAGCCTGATATTTCTGAGAAAGAATATTGTAGACAAAACATTAAGGACTGATAACAGAAAGTAACAAAATATCATCTGCATAAAGAAACATTTTATGTTGTTGTCCGCCATGCAGAATCCCTTTGATACTAATCTCACTCCTTATTGCAGAAGCCAAAGGTTCCAAAAATAGTATAAATAGCAGTGGACTGAGGGGAGATCCCTGCTTTGTTCCCCGTGATAAATTAAAGAAAGATGATATTGTTCCATTTGCTATCACCGCAACTCTAGGATCTGAATAGATAATATTAACCCATTTAACAAAACATTCTCCACATCTAAATTTCCTTGACAATAAATTAAGTGATTTAAATTCTATTCAATTTATTTCTATAGCTCTGATTCACATCATGTCACCTCAGGTCACTTTCCAGTTCACCAGATCATCCAGTCAGATTGA